AAAAAAAAAAAAATGCAAAAGGAAGTATAGTCTCATCAATTAATTGCATTTGTCACATTTATTTCTCTTTACATTTTTATTTTTTTAACCAAGGCTCAAGAATTGAGATTTTTTTATTTTTTATTTTTTTTGTATTCCTACTCTTATTGAGTTTTTTTTTTACCTTGTAGATCAATACACACTAGGTGTGTAAGTATGTGTAATCCAACCGTAAAAAACTCGATGAGGACAATTTATGTTGATATCGTTCGATTGTTCAACACTAAAATTATTTAATCCAATTTGAAATTATCTCCAACTAAAATAAACATGTTCGAATCAGAATAACACATACAATTTCATAAACCTGTTCTATCTTGGTGCAATATTGTAGTGCATGATTTCAATGGATCTCCCAAAAATAAAAATTAAAGGTCTACTAATTATTATAATATATATGTAATATATCAAGCTTTTAGATAAGACAACCCACAGAAGCTTCCAAATGAAATAAAATAAGGCAGATTGAAATTGAAAAGATGAACAGAGGATTGGTGTTATGGGTTCTAGAAGATGTGAGTGAGGCAGGATCTCTGCACTTTGCAAAGGTTCAACCGAGACAGCATAAGCCGTTATACGACAGTATGACTATATCAATATATCAATATGCATATGAAATATTCCAACATATAAATTATATTATATCTATGTTTTTTTTCTTGGCTTGTTATTTACACCTTCATTTTTGTGTAATCTTCCTCTCTTGACTGCCCATAACATAGGATTATTACAACCTTTTTGTTTTCCTTCATATTGTCATATTATTTCAACATACATTACAAAAAAAATAAAAAAATAAAAAAAAAATCCCACTTATAGTTATTAAAAGAGGAAAAGATAATTAGTTGTGGAACCTTGTCTTGCAACTAAGGAACAATTAGGCCTTTGTCCACATTATAAACAATGTCTTTTTACCAAGATTTTGGTCTACATACAAACCACACACCACACATATGAACAAAATCATTATGTATATACCTAACTAGTTTGTACTAACATTTGTGATTTGTAGTTACCATAAATTAAAACCAATGCATATATATGTATACACACCGACATACATATTTTTGTATGAGTTGTCTAACTGTTAGGCTGATGATCGATCCGTTATATTTTTTTTAACCAAAATTGCATATTTTTACTATGAAATGTCGTGTTTTAATTTTTTTGTGTTTCTTAGAGTATGATAATTTAGATCAAAAATTTACATTTATGTAGGAAAATATGGTTTGATATATCTAGTGTGTGTGAATGTCTATATAATTCTACAATAATGTTTTATAAATGATCAATTAAAAAAAAAATGCCTAGTCATGATGTCAAATCTTATCCTAAAACTTGACCAATCAATTTATTTTTATATTTTTTATTTATTTTTTTAAAAAGCAATATGTTGTACCTCAAGAAGCTTATGTTATTGTCTTTTATTAACTTTGAAGATTTTGCACCTTGACTTGCTTTTTGTCCATGATATAGATTATTGAGATCTCTCTCCAGGGATATATGACAATTTGGCCCACTTTATACAATCTTAAATTCTTATAATTTCTAAGAAAATTAATTAATCCACATAATGAACAAAATCTTGTTAATTTTCTGTCACTTATTATTATTATTGCCATAACCCTGTGGAGAAGGTATATTATCTTCTAGTTTTTAGTTTTAATTTTGCAAAAAAAAAAAATAAATAAATAAATAAAAAAAAG